GAAAAAAAAATACGGGCAATAAAATTCAAACCAATGGCAGTGATAAGAAAAGACTCACTATAGATTCTGGTGAAAGGTGTTTGGGGGAACAGTGGTGGTCTGTGCACGGCAACTATAACCTCGAGGAACCACTGGTAGATGATTACAATAATATTGCACATGAAAAAATAAGACCACCATTTCATTACACCTGATTGCCTGAAAAATGTAATACAAAAGTCCAAATCTAATACGGCGCCAGGGCCTGAAGGTATTCGAAATCGGTATTGGAAACTGTTTTCTTGTATCCAAACACCATTACTTCACTGTTATAATTCAGGGGATACAGGGGATATTCTGCCTTGGTGGTACACAGGACGAAAAATACTTTTCCCAAAGAAAAGTGATTTGACTGATGTTGTGGAACGGCAGGCCTATACGTATTTAGGTTAGAGATACAGGTTAGAGACAAACTCCCGAATGCCCACATCAAAGACAAACTTCAGGCAGATACAAATGTAAAATCTTGAGTTTAGAGCTGAACGCTCGCTCGCAATAAAGTCAAAGCCACCTATACGTATGCTGCATTCAATACGACAGTGTCAGTGAATGCCCAGCTTTGGTTCAAACATAGTATCTGAAGCGACATGACGGAGTGGTTCGATCATTTTATTATCGTTTGCGCCATGCTTGTGGTTTTGACACAAAGGTCCATCCAAGTTGCGACACAGAATATGTGGAGGGCGTCATGGAAAATTATAAAAACAAATTTCTTTGGAGTTTAGGCCTAAGACATATCCAAGCAAAACAATACTAATGTCCTTTTTGATAAATCATTTATATCATTGTATTTTCTTTCCCTTTTGACACTAATGTGATCGACGAGATTCAGGAAAATCATGGCAAATATGCGGACTTCACTTTCGAAATGTCACGCTTACATCCAAAGTACCAAGTTGTTCCATCCCCCATTGCTCTCGGTGCCTTAGGTTTGGTACCTCTCAATCTGTTGACTGATATTGGGAGAGTACCAGGAATACAGCCCTTCTGACAATCTGGGTAATGCAGAAGGCTGCAGTGTTTGGGAGTCTTCACACCCTCCGAAAAGTTCTGGGCGGTTTCGACTAGGCAGCGCTTTCTGGAAGAAGTTCCATTCGCTGTCTGGGCTGCGTGTAGAGGGGGCAAGGGCCCTGATGGTGAACCAAACCAGCCTGACTGTGCCAGGATCAACCATACACTCATCATCATCATCATCATCATCATCATCATCATCATCACCATAAATCCAGCTATTAAGCGCCAGACTCCATGATCATGTCGGTACATTATTACATACATGATGACCCCGGTCTTTGGATCAGTGTTCAATGTAATAGTTATTGCATTCTTAGTCACCCTGGAGAATATACAAGAGGCGCTAGACAAAATAATTACAGCTATACTACTATCTTTTCCTACCGGGTATCCTATCCCTGCTGGGTGCAAAGAGGCATATTTCGATCAAAGTCACTTGCCAAATGAGACGCCGTGTGTAACTTGTGTTTGAGTCTGGGGCAGGGCCGAAGCCCTAGAAACTCTCGGGGATCAAGCTTTCGAACACGATCTGCCATCCATCTACATGTACTATGATAAATCCGTGACCAAAGTTGCCTCCCTACATCTGTTTTGGGTCTTTGTTTAAAGTAATCATGACTATCCCCATGTGACAACTCAATTCAACTTTCTAACTCTCAAGTTTAACAGGTTCGGATCCCAGATTCGCCCGAGTTACGAACTTGTTTGTTAGCACCTTGCCTTGGTAAACGTCTAAGACTAATTCTAAATCTTCGGGATTTCTTTCCACACGAATCTGAAAAACCACCCTACATCAGAAATACTGTCACTCAACTTTGCTCTCCGTCATTTATCACTTCTTTCCGACCACATTTGCCGACTGTATTTCCACTAACGCCCCCTCTCACGAGTATATATCAACTTTCCCTATGTCCACCAACCAACGCCTTTTCTGACACCATTTCACATATCAGTGCGTAAGTCAATATTCAAACCTCAGAATATTGTCCAGGCGGTCGGGTAGCCTAGTGGTTAAAGCGTTCGCTCGTCACACCGAAGACCCGGGTTCGATTCCCGACATGGGTAAAATGTGTGAAGCCCATTTCTGGTGTCCCCGCCGTGATATTGCCAGAATATTGCTAAAAGCGGCGTAAAACCATACTCACTCACTCACTCTGAATATTGTTTGATATCAAATCATGAACGTCTTCGGACACCACGTGTCTCTTCAATGCAAATGTAAAACGTCAAAGACAGAGAATAACCAGTCTCGATTATCCGTCATTGAACGTGAAAGGCAAAATAGCTGATTATATGAATGAACTCTGAAAATCAATGATGACACCAGGTGTTCGCAAAAAAGGGTAAGCATGTCCTGCTCGACCGGTAGCACCCGCCACTGACACAATTTGCCTACAAAAAAAGTGCTTATCATAAGCAACAGGAGTTACTACATTTCACTACATCTATCGATACTATCAGTACAATTAGATATCGATATTACATATCGATGTGTTAACTTGCATCGGTGTATTGCCAACGGGCCATCAACAATTGTGATGCATCTATAGTTCCATCAGTCAACACGGTTATAGTATTGCCTGATGTAGATACATGTATTAATATTACCATCTGTTTGTGTGAGTGAGTGAGTGAGTTGGGTTTAACGCCGCTTTTAACAGTATACCAGTTATATCACGGCGTGTCAGCTTAATGTGGGAGGAAAGCCCAAAGTGATGCAGGTCTCAGACGTTTACCACTTCGCTGAAACCCACGAGCACGGGTATGGTGCTGACAAACCTAGAAACATAATCGAGGCGAACCGGGATTCGAACCTACGATCATAGGTTTCTGGCGTACCCAAGGGGCGCAACTCTGCACAGCGAATCGCGGCGCCTTAGACGACTGGGCCACCCGTGCTGCCCCCATGTTTGTATGAACACCCCACCATTTGTCCATATGCACATGGACTTGTCTTCATACCACGTAACATAGATTTACCCACATACACACACAGAACCACACACTACGACCCATTACGTGATAGAGGGCACGAGTGGCCCTGAGGTTTTTACGTGTCACAGCTCGCTGTATGGAGTTGTGGCCCTTGATCATGCCAGGATCCGCATGTCGTGGATTCTTATCCTATATTCTCCCCGATGATGATCGATAGACAGTGAATACAAAAACTCTCTTCGATATTTATACATATTAGCGCTTCAAACTTCGCTCGGCTCATTCACACTCTCTCACATGCTACATATACGGCAGATAACTACTCACAGGCAAGAAAGACGTTCATTGAGCTGGGTTTAACGCCGCCGCAGTATTCAAGAAAAACCACTGCGAATCATGTTGATGTGGTTGAAACCAGGAAGTGATGCGGGTCTCAGACATTTAGAACTTTGGGAAACGCATTAGCACGGGTGCACGGTGCTGACAAACCTACAATCAATATCAGGCCAATCTGGGAGTCGAGCCCCAGATAGTAGGTGAACAAATTAAGGCAACTTAGACGACTGGACTTAATGTCTATGGGATGCTAACTGGTTCCAGAAACAAATAGCCACATCTACTTATAAATCTAAAAGTGTCTCTTTAACGACATATTTGGTATAGGTATTTCACGAATGGCACAGTGTGCTACATTTCTATGGCAGTTAACGTTTTTTAAAGTATATGTTCATGACAATACATATTGTGATGGATTATGATATGCCTTCAAATGTATTTTGACCGCCTCCGTGGTCTAGCGGCAGAGCGTCCGCCAGGAGAGTGGAAGGTCCGGGGTTCGATCCCCGGCCGCGTCATACCAAAAGACGTTAAAAGATGGTATTTGTTGTTACCCTGTCTGGCGCACGGCATTAGGGGCTAAAACAAGGACTGGTCAGAATACTGTGTCTGAGTGGGGTATTCATGTTAAACTGCGGCATGGTATCTCAGTTAGGTCAGCACTATAAATCGGCATCAGTACGGACTAGTACAAGCAGCCACACACACACACACGTACATGCACGTCGCTATATAAGTGCAATAATCTTGGGCGCGACGTTAAACCCAATTTCACCTCACCTCAAATGTATTTTTAGAATACGCGACGTGATATCCATACAAAGTTGTCATTAAACATACATGTTTCACCAAATGTTAATTTGAAATGATGACGATGAATAAAATCTGTAAATATCTTATGGTGTCCCTATTCATTCACAACAAACGGAATGACCTATTAACAAAAGATGGCACGTTAGTTTCAGATATCCAGATGACACTATATCTGTGATTACGTACCTGTATACACAGGTGGGATCAACAGTTTTTATAATACAGTGACACCCTGCTATTTAGGACCCCGTTAATCCGTCAATTTTGAAGACGTCGATGAACATTTTTTTCAATATCACATCCAACCAGTGATTCGTTAATAAGGACTTACATTAATCCGTACTACACCAGAAACGGAACCCTGGATAATCGGTGTCTCACCTTATTTAGGTAAGTCTCCAGGTCGCAATTTAACCTCTTTTTAAAGTCATTCCGTAGATGACGCTACGGCTGAACACCTTAGGGCATAATTCTTGACACATACACATACAAGCGAAAAAATTCATTTCATAATCATGAGAAATCTCTGCCTAAAGGAGAGACCATTGTACAATTCGGACTACATCATAAGCAGGTGTTTATGAATCACTATCACATCGTGATGATACCTGTGGTAGCGAAAATGTGTGTATCCTGCCCCACCGGTGACACCTGTCACAAACACATGCAACGGCAAGGTAAAACTTTGTTTGAGCTACACTGACAAACCGACATTATTCATACGTAACGCAACTGGCCTTGCCGCACTAACACTGAAACGTTGCGGCTGGTTACGAAAATATTACGACATACCTACATTTGAACCGTTATCTGTGTCATACTATAAAAACATCCTCTTTGTAAAGTATAGAAAGAATAAATACCTGAAAACGCACGTTGTCTGTCAAGATTACATCCAGAGGGGAAATCATTCACATATACTCCACAAATTACATTCACGCCGCTGACTAGTAATCCCAAGAATAGAGAAGCACTTAAGCCTTGCCTCGCCAACTAATCCAGCTAAAGAACTTATAACGAAGAGCCTAGCCTTGGCGCTTCCATTCCGAACAGACAGCGATATCTCTAGCCTCGACGCATTGCAGTGTAATCGGCGAGTAGGTGTGCTATACGCGAGAAGTTGTGTTACACGCGAGTAGTTGTGTTGTCAGCGAGTATTGATCTAACTTGAGAATCAGCCTATGAAAACGTTCGTTACGTACGGGCACGGAACAGTCGCGTGTGCATACTTGTATTATCTCGAAACACAGCCAGGTGATGGTCTGAAACAGCAAGCCTTCTTATTCGACGAGTGTGAGGCTGTTGGCATCGGAGTGTCATTCACCAAAGATGCAATGTACGAGACAGGCGTCACAATTATTGTTTATCTATTCATAATTAATTTTGAGGTGTTAAACAACGTGACAAGACCATTGACACGTAAACGCTCGTTATATACTGATTTTAACAATTGAATAAGTGAGTGAGTTGGATTTAACGCCGCTTTTAACAGTATTCCAGTTATATCACGGCGTGTCAGCTTAATGTGGGAGGAAAGCCCGAAGTGATGCAGGTCTCATACATTTACCACTTCGGTGAAACCCACGAGCACGGGTATGGTGCTGAAAAACCTAGAAACATAATCGGGGCGAACCGGGATTCGGACCCACAATCATCGGTTTCTGGCGTGCTAAGGGGACGCAACTCTGCATAGTGAATCGCGGCACCTTAGACGACTGGAACGCACGCACACACACACATGTACACCACTCCCCATCCCCGGAATGTCAAATGGACGGTCCCTAAGCGCGTAGCACATTGTATTATTTATGAACTGAATCCGAAAATTTGACTAATATTAAATGCTATTATTGGGGTAATTAATTTATATATGCAGTATTCACATCTTGCTTGTACATTGTGAATATGGCGTGTCACATTTAAACGAAACCTTGTGGCTAACCTTTAAAACAACTCCATACCCCCATGTCGTTATGTTCCGTTTTTCTATAATCCATGACGTCAATCGTGACGTCACAAAGGAAGTAACATTCTTATTATTTAAATCTGAACTCAGAACAGATACAGATAGTACAATCTTGGGCTGTAGTATTTGTTTGTTTGTTTGTTTGAAATAAATTTATTTATTTATTTGTTGTTTTACGCCGCACTCAGCAATATTCCAGCTTTATTGTAAATAATCAAGTCTAAACCAGACAATCCAGCATTTGACATCATGAGCATCGACCCACGCTATTGGGATACGATGACATGCATCAACCAAGTCAGCAAGCCTGACAACCTATTCCCGTTAGTCGCCTCTTACGACAAGCATAGTCGTCTTTTACGGCAAGCATGGGTTGCTGAAGACTAATTCTACCCCGGAATCTTCACGGGTTATATACTGTAGTGGGATTGATGTAACATGTCCACTGTGTATGGTAGTATGTGGTCCTACTCGAATACCCAGATGCATGACCCATTGCTCTCTTTGTATCAGTACGTCAGTTGATTTACAGTGTCTTAGTTACAAGGCTTGATGTTGGAGGACCGCTTGAAGGCCTCTCACGTTTACACGGGCGTAGTGATAACACACCAACAGTCGTAATCGGGGTGAATCGTGGATTCGAACCCACGAACCAGGGAACTCCTAACAGACGTAATTCTGCACAGAACTGCGGCGACGTGAACGACTGAGGTACCAGCATCCCCGGTTTATCAAAAGACGGCTGCTGAGACTGTGAGATAGGGATGTATGCATGTCTCATTAATGGAAACAGTATTACTAGCCAGCAATATACAACATCATCACCACATACGCACGCAATATGTTTTAAAGGATAGAGAGAGAAGTGGAGAGGGAGAGGTGTGGGGAGAGAGAGGTGGAGAGAGAGAGAGAGAGGTGGGGAGAGAGATGGAGGGAGAGGGAGAGGTGGAGAGAGAGGGAGAGAGAGGTGGAGAGAGACAGATGGAGGGAGAGGGAGAGAGAGAGGTGGAGAGACAGAGGAGGAGAGAGATGGAGGGAGAGAGAGGCACAGCGAGGTGGAGAGAGAGATGAGGGAGAGGGAGAGGTGGCGAGAGAGGGAGAGAGATGGGTGAAGAGAGAGAAGTGGAGATAGACAGATTGAGGGAGAGGGAGAGAGAGGTGGAGAGACAGACGGAGGGAGAGGGAGAGAGAGGTGGAGAGACAGATGGAGGGAGAGGGAGAGAAAGGGAGAGAGAGAGGTGGAGAGAGAAGGAGAGGTGGAGAGAGAGAGAAGTGGAGAGAGAGAGAGAGAAGTGGAGAGAGAGAGAGAGAGAGCACAATATAGTAAACATTAAGTAAGTGGAGTATGATTGAACTCGGTTTTAATTGGCATATTTTATATATGTTGATGTCGTGTGTCCAAATACATGTACATCGAGATATAATGTTTCTTACCACTGACAGCAGAATTTACAAATACCAAATACGAAACTACAGAACGTCAATGAATAATTATGTTCGATTATCTGCCGAAGCAAATCAATCAGAACCTGTTCAACAATACAATGGGGTCTCGGGGTCAATAGCAGCCCAGAGACAACACCATCTTGTCAAAATTGCCGCCAAGTCAATACGAGTCAAACAATGTTAGATGCCAGTAGTAATGTCTATATGATTATCATATTTGTGAAAAACACTAACCAACACGATGAACACGAACGTACAAAGGACACGCGTACACGTACATATTTAAACAGTAGGACATTCAGTGGTGAAACTCAAGTTGAGAGAATATACAGCTGCTTATACGTACTGCAAACAGCTGCTAATACGTACATACAAACAGCTGACACATTACATACATGCTAGACTTATATTCCTCAAAAAGGTTAACGAAAACCCCATTGTCTCATATCACTTTTTTATTAGTTAATATGTCATGCCATGACAGGCATTCTTAAATTCTTTTGAGAAGCGCATATATAGAACTCCATTAAGGGCCTTTGTCATTCGTGACGTCAATGATATGTATCAGAGGTACAGATCATATTCGCCCTCTTTATAACGATATTCGAGGAATATATTAAGGCACCTACCATTTGATATTTTTTGCAGGGGCAAGGGAGCCAGTATTTTGTATCGAGATTAATTGTTTTTTCGGCTTCAGATGCAAATATGAAAAACGAGATATTTTTAATTTTTTATAAATATAAGCCTTGATTATTTTTCAGAAAAACACCTTGTCAAAACGTATTTTTTGTTACAGGTATTTTTTTGTTTTCAAAGGTCGAAGCACCAAACATTATTTTTTCAAGAATTTTCAGGGACAATTAAATTTTTTGGATAAAATACACCCCTAACTCACTCCCCCAAAATATCAAAAAGTCGGTCCCTTGCCAACGACGAACAACAAAATATTGAGGGCTTATTAAAAGGAATACGGTTGGATGCAGGCCAAACCGAGGGTACAAGCCTGCTAAGAGTTTATCTTACTACAGTGTTACCACGTACCACAATATAAAAAAACCCCGGAGAATCAGAATGGGCTCTGAAGCTTTTGTTTGTCGCAATATCGCTGGGTGAGGTCCAGAAGACAATGTGTTTATGTTCAGCTCTGTACATGTGCATCACGGAGTTTTAACATCAGTATTAATAATTGTACATTACGCGCCGTCGTTTCGCTGAAATGAGCTTGAATTGGAGATCTGCAAACTGCAAACTGCAAACTGTCTGTTGCCATGACAATACATATGAGTGAGTGAGTGAGAATGGTTTTTACGCCGCTTTTAGCAATATTCCAGCACGATCACGGCGGGGGACACCAAAAATGGGCTTCACACATTGTACCCATGTCGGGAATCGAACCCGGGTCTTCGGCGTGACAAGCAAACGCTTTACTCACCTGGCTAACCGACCGCCCCACAATACATATGAAGTATTAAAAATCTGAAATAATGTGTTTTAACAAAACGGCGACCGAACATTCAGTTACGCATCAGAGATGTCCGATGCAAAACAAGGGTGTAATTTGCATGTGTTTGAAAAATATATCAATCTAACAATTTGTCAACATTCAAGGCCTGTTTAAGGCCCAGGAAAAGTTTTAGGGCAGGCATGTGAAGGGCATTTATATTTGACGAACCAGTAAAAAATGTTATGTCCGATGCTATTCCCTGTGGTCACCTGTTGTACGTGTTCCCTTGTTGCTTTAGGTGAACACTTGACATGCTTTTGCATGTGTTTGTGACAGACACCATAGGTGGAGCAGGATACTCTCACCTCTTCGCGAACACCTGGTATCATTACTATGTGATAAAGCTCATAAACACATGCTTATGATATAGTCGGAATCGTACAATGAAGATTTCACATGATTACGGCATAAACACATGATTATGATATAGTCGGAATCGTACAATGAAGATTTCACATGATTACGGCATAAACACATGCTTTTGATATAGTCGGAATCGTAAAATGAAGATTTCACATGATTACGGCATAAACACATCCTTATGATATAGTCGGAATCGTAAAATGAAGATTTCACATGATTACGGCATAAACACATCCTTATGATATAGTCGGAATCGTACAATGAAGATTTCACATGATTACGGCATAAACACATGATTATGATGAAGTCGGAATCGTACAATGAAGATTTCACATGATTACGGCATAAACACATGCTTTTGATATAGTCGGAATCGTACAATGAAGATTTCACTTGATTACGGCTTAAACACATGCGTATGACATAATCGGAATCGTGCAATGAAGATTTCACATGATTACGGCATAAACACATGCTTTTGATATAGTCGGAATCGTACAATGAAGATTTCACATGATTACGGCATAAACACATGATTATGATAAAGTCGGAATCGTGCAATGAAGATTTCACCTGATAACGGCATAAACTCATGATTATGATATAGTCGGAATCGTGCTGTAAAGATTTCACATGATTACGGCATAAACACATGATTATGATATAGCCGGAATCGTACAATGAAGATTTCACATGATTACGGAATACACACAAGCCTTTGATAAAGTCGGAATCGTACAATGATGATTTTTTATTATCATGGAAAAGGTTCCGCTGCTTTTGCTAATAAGAAGAAAGGATTAGTTAAAAACAGAACATGCGTGTGTTAGAAGCCT